TAATTTAATCTAAATACACTTGTTTTAATTGGGACTTCAGAGTACCGGTATATCCATCTTATCTGTGCATTTTTTTCCCCTTTTCCTAGGGCTGGGGCGGCATAGGCGCGGAGGTGTTCCTCAGCTTGCCGTGCATGTTGGGAGCGAATGGATCCGCTCGGTTGGCTGGAGTATCACTGGGACCTGAAGAAGACTCTAAAATCAGGACAAGTGTTAACACTCTCTCCACCCTCATGAGTCAGTTAAGGATATGACTGAGGAGCAGTCAGGGAATGCCCTCTGCTTCACATGAAGGACAGTGATTTCGATGAAGTTTAAAAAGAAAAACTAGACACCAAAGGCATAATTTCCAACACATGGAAATTGTGCAATAATCTAATGCAAGAAAATATAAGTTGCACTTTTTATTTTAAGTTCAAGGCCTCAGATGCCTGCTTTGCACTTTGTCATGCTGCAATAAGGTAATGTTTTGTTTTCTTTTAAAGTCATGGGATTTTGTGCAAAACATCTTTAAGATGAGCACAATCTTCTGAAGCTGCTTATTCTGTTAAATCACTACAGCAGCTGCTATTTAGAATACTTTATTTCTGGAAAGTGAACAGAATTTTGTCAAAATCAAGGTATTTGATCATGAAGATGTACTATGTGCACTATAATCCAGAGGTGGTTTGGGCTATAAATCAGTAGATTGACTCAAGTACAGCTTTTGTGTCTGCTGTTATCCTGTTTCCTCATTAGAAAAAAAAAAAAAAAAACAGTTTTACATAGCTTCATCTAAAGATACTTGTTTATTTTGTAGGACTACATTATTTTGTGGGTATGTAATAAATATTTGGAAACAATAATGTTGATTGTTTGAAGAACAGAAAAACAAGACATGTTATAGTTAATCTCTTTATAAAACTCAAGTAAGTAAATGCAGATAAGCTTTGGTTTTAGCCTCGGTCTCCATAAAAACAACCTAAATTCCTTACAGGAGCAGTGATGTACAACATTCAGCAACGTTCCAATATCCTGTCATGCCAAACATACTTGACTGAATGCCAGAAACAGTACTTCATAGTGAGGCAATGCAAACAGGCCAAAGTGTTGAACAGCACTTTGCAACTCTGATAAAAAAAAAAAAACACCAACTGCAACAGTCAGAAATGACAAGTTTCAATAAAACAAAATACTGTTTATAGGACACAGAACAAAACAGACTTTTTCTCAGCCCCTACAGGTCTTTAACTGTGTGGCTCAACCTGCATTTTGAAAGAAAATGTTTTTTGTTTAAATAAATAAATGAAATGCTTGCTTTCGTAAGAATTACACCAAACTGTTTCAATGACTGGTAAAATGCCTAAATTTGTATTTTGTTTTCTGGCCAGTAGATGGCGCAACCATCAAAGAGTCAAACATCTACAGAAAAACAGTCTGTGCCAATATATCACATTAACCCCCTATCTTATTCATGCATGAACATATAAACAGTGTAGTACTGCTGTAAAGCCAGGTGTAATAGAAAATGTTTTTTTTTGTTTTTTTTTTAGAGCTTTGTAACAATGTATAAAAAAACAAAAACAAAGCTCCTTTAAAGAATATCCACTGCTACCACAGAGGGGGAAAAATACCTGAAAAAAACAAGTCAAAGATAGGTCTGTATTTACATTAGTCATTTATTGCACCATTCATGCTGCTGCTGGTGTTAACGACAATAAGGAACCTGTAGTTTTATGAGTTCTGCATAAATGTACTCTAGTTTAGTGGACATGTTATGTTAACCTACACTTAACCTACACGCAGTTTCGCAGAGTTTGACAAACTGAGAAGACGTGTGAGCCTGCTCACACCTGACTACTTATTTCCATTTGAATGTTTTGGTTTGCGGAGGATAACTGGTCGTCTGAAAGCCCTTTTGTTGTAGTTGTCGCACTAAGTACACCATGTTAAGATTAAGACACCTTGTTGGAACAAAATTACAATAGCATAAGGTGGAACAATGGTGATATGTGCAGCTGTGATGAGATCACTACTCTTCTATACAAAGAGGAAACCAAGTGTGTTTAAAAAAAGGGGGGGGGGTCAGGTTAATATAATGTTTGACATCGGATTTAAATAAGAGTTGGACAACAGTTTCCTTAAAAGTGGTGCAACTGCCATAGGAGTGGGTACAGTAGCTGGACATAGAACAATGGTTGTCACACATGCGTGGAACAGTTCTTGACAAATAGCTACTGGCCCTTTTATCTTTACAGTAGCTTTGAAGGCCAATCGGGCATGAACAGCTGCCACATCAAAAAGTTACTGATTTTGGCAGTTTTTGTCCAACAGGAGGCGTACTACAGAAGTCCGGGCTGCATTGTACTCCTGTGATGCCCATTGGCGACTGTCCTGAGGACCTGATGTGACACGGGGGAGACCCTGTGTATAGCAAAGGTGCTGGGAAGGCAGAATGGTCTCTGGGGGCTCTGGTGAAATTCTTAGAGTAAACAGGTGATAAGGACCTGGTTGGGTCTGAGGAGATGCCAGAGGTACACTGAAAGGGACTGAATCTGTCTGCAAAGTTTGGTGGAGGAGGGGGGATGATGGAGTCATCCACCCAGCTGGACTCTCCTTTATATTCTGGCTCTTGGGGCAATCTAGGGAGGACGCACATCGATGGGGGAAGAGGGGAAGGGGAAGGAGGAATAAAGAGGGGAGGTGGGGGGACAGGGTAGAGAGTAGGGTCGTAGGTTCTGTCAGTAGGGTGGGTGGGTTTGCATGGAGCTTCTTCAAGGGTGCAGGCAAGTAGTCTCTCCACAAAGCGATCGTCGTCATCAGCTTCTGAGAGATTATCATACTGAGATGTGTTGGAGGGTCGTCTGTCCCCTGTGGACCCAGGAACATAAAGGGAAACTGGGAACTTGGTTGGTTTGGTGGGTGGGACTCTGGGAGGCGATGAGGAGGGTGGTGTGTGGACAGGGAGACATGGAGGCTTTGTTGGAGAAGTACTTATCTTCATGAAGTGAGGGGATGGTTTTGGGCTTGGTTTGGGGGATGGCCTGACTGAAGCAGCCAGTGGTAAGGCTGGACAAGGGGATGGAGAGCGAAGGTGCGAATCAGGATGAGTCTCAGGCCCTAGGCTAGGCGACTCTCTGCCAAGAAACTGCTGGTCAGTCTGCTCAGGGTAGAACAAAGGTGGAGGGGGTAGGTCAGGAAGGTCCGAAATGTCAACCTCTGTCTGCATAGTCACAGCATCCGAAGGGGAGGGCTCATAGGGTGGAGGCCAATCCACTGATCCCTCCTGAGACTCTGTGTCAGTCGCTTGGTTCTCCTGTATTCCTAACTCCTGGTTAACCTCTGGGGGCAACTTCTTCATATCTCTACCCATCCCTACCTCAATAGATGGCTTGTTTTCTTTTGGAGGTACCAGTGGTGATTTACAGTGCCTTAGGGAAGAAGGTGTTCCTTCTGCACGGACAACTAATGAAGACATTGAAGAAGCGTGATGATTGGAAGTTGCCTCCAGTTTCTCAGTCTCTGAAATAGGCTTGCTGTTTGTCTGATGATTTATTTTGACCTCCGGAGGAGAGTTAGACTGCAATGGGTGAAGAAGAACTGGTCTCTCTTGACCCAGAGGCTTCTTTGGCAGCTCATCTGACTTGGCTAAAAAAGGAAAGAGAAAACATGCATCACATGGATGGAACTGAAGAAAAATGCAGTGCCTTGCAAAACTGATCCTATCCCAAACCCCCTTTTTTTCTCTCCTTACAGCCAAAAACCTAACCATACTTTTAACAGGATTTTAAGAGCTAGAACAGAACAAATCAGTTTTAAAGAGGAAACTAAATGATATATTGTTTGATTATTGCAAAAGAACAAGTAAAAAAAATAAGCCATTCATTTTGATTTAGCATTTTATTTTAAATTAAATCAATTGAAATCATTCACCTATAGAAGTCGCATATTAGGTATGATTTAAATCAACAATGTAACTTTTAGCCACTAAAGGCCATAGACCAGTGCCTACCAGGTTTAACACAGCTTGAAGCAACCAGAAACACTGCACTGATGGAAAATAAAGTCTCCATCTGTGTTTTGGAATCTGATAGAACACTTTGAACCAGCAGATTGAGAAGTCATGGAGTTACTTTTAAAGACAGATCTACATTCACCCCTCTACATTAAATCCTAAATCAGAGAATAAAAAATTAAACTGATCAGGTAAGTTTTCTATTTATTTGCTCTAATGTTTGAGAGGAGCTCAGACTGCGGTACAGCGGCTCTGGGTCACACGCCTCATTCAGTGATAGATCCGACCCTCTCAGATTACATTACCAAGTTTTTCAGAAGGGTGGCCTGCACAGAATGTCCATACATGCCAAGTGCTTTATATTGCCCTGAAAATCTTTCTACCAAGTAGTGAATTTAGGGGGGAGCGAACAGTTATGCATGCTTACGTTTTACTATTTTATACTTGTTGTTTTCTTCACAATAAAAATTGTTGTAGGCATATATTTTATATATAATTATGCAAACTCTTAACTCATTTTAATTGTAGTTTTTAAGACAAAAACACAAAATAACTAGGGAGGGTGAATACTTTTTCAGGCCACTGTATTTGCTGCCAAAAACTTGCAGCTATAACTAAAGAGAAAACACCTTTCTAAAAGAGTCTGAAAAACAGGGATATTTTCATCTAATGGAGACAAGTACTGTTTAACATTTAATTATTTCCTTAAATTGTTTCACTTGATTGACACTATAGACAATTAGGGTTTTAAGTTTGTGATAGGTATTCTCTGATCTTTTCTGTGACTTTAAAATGGAATATTAAGAAAAACAGAGGAAAGGAATTCGAGTTGCACCTGGAGGAGGTTGATCCAGCTTTTTACTGCGCAGCTCTGACATGGCGGCCTGTAACTGTTCAATCGCAGCATCGTCCGGCAGTATGAACGAATGAGACAGCTCCTCCTGAAGAAACTCCCTCAGGTCCTCTAGCTGGAGCTTCATCAGCCGCTCTGGATAAACATAATACGTTGATGGATAAACAATGAAATAAATCCAAACACGTAAAATTCCATTATTCCTATTGTTGGGTAAACTCCAAGTAAGAAGTTGTGTTGATGATTCAACAGTCCCTTTAACTGGAAGAAATCAACCAACATGCTGAGGCAATGCTTAGCTCTAACCAATAAAAAGTCAGCTTTTGATTCCTCTCCGCAGCAACTGGCCACTTGTCTAATGCAAGTCATTCAGTGAAGACGCAACCAACCGTGAGGAGGCTTGCCATGTAATCCACCCTATGTATCACAGATGTGTCTGGGCTTAAGAGCATCTTGCCTGATTTTTTTCCCCAGCACAATCTGACAAGGCAACATTTAGCAGGGGCTTAAGACTCACTTTTGTGTAACTTGAGGATTGTATAAGCCATGGCTGTAAGGATCTTGTCTCCTTCCAAAATGTAGATGTCCCATAAGCGCAATGTGAGGGTGAAGGGCGTCTGTTATGAAAACAGAAGTCAGAAATAAGGAATAAATAGTTAAAAACAGAAACAAGATATGTAGACAGTTCATGTTTGAGAAAACATCAACGACATACTCTGTCGATGAAGCACTGCAGAAACCATTTGGTTGAATAAATCCCTGTTGTCATCTGCTCCCTGTCCTGTGGGAAAACAATTCAACATGAAACTGAGTCTGTGAGGGTAAAAATATTTAAAAAAAATTGCTATAAATCTCTGTTTTTAAACCAGCTTAACAACAGGATTGGGCCATTATTGCACACTGGAACTCACCAGGTATTTTTTAAGCTTAGGCAGCATTTTCGAGAGGATGAGGTCATGATGAGTCTGGAAACGCTGCAGCTTGGGAAATCCAGGAATGAAAAATCCTGCAACAGTGAAGGAAAAAAAAAATAAAAAATCAGACTATAAATGGTAAAATCAGAGATGGCAGGACATTTACAGAGAAATGAAATATTTGCTGCAAAATATTCATTTTTTTTAACACAAATATTTCAGATTGATTACCGTTTAAAACCAGACAAAGGTAACCTCAAAACAAAATCTAGTTTTTACATGACTTACCACTGTGCAAATTCTGCTACAACATAAAAGATAACTTTAAAGGATAAATCTGGTTTTAAAAAGTTAGATGGGTCGGCTTTTCCTCATCCTCACCATGCATAGAGTGCTTGCTGTCTGTAAGAAGCTGGGATAAAGCCCAGAAGGCATCTTCCTCATTCAGGTACATGAGCAATATCGCAGCGATCTGACTCATCCCCTGACAGTAGCTTACCTCCTGGGAGAAAAAACAGCAGAGTTTGAGTTGACAAATGAGCGGTAATTTCATAATTTTATGACAAACACACATAGGTCCTAATGTAGGGGATAGAAAGTATCTAATAATCTGGCATGGTTTAGACTGAAGCAGTACTCAATCTAAAGATGAACCAAAAGCATTGATAGATTTTTTTAAACATTTGCAGAGCTACATATACACCTTCAGTAATGTCATTCTTCTGGTTGAATTACCACCAAACTGACTGATTCACTGATTTACATGAAACAAGCCCACGGCAAACATGGAAACACAAACACACACTGGGTATTTTTCCATATTAAGTGGGATTATTTTTCAGATAGAAATAGAGGCACAACATGTATCCTTTCAAGGCAAAAAAGTAAATATAATTAAGGTTAAAGAGAGGTCAAACTGCACATTCTCCACATTCTTCTCTACCAGCACATATGTGAAAAAGTCAAACATCCTCTTCTCTATTTTGCCTTTCCTGTCTCTCTTAGCTCTCCCACTGACCCAATTTCTTTTCAGCATTGTGTGAGAAGAGGGTAAAAGGGAAAAAAAAAATAGCAACGCATGCCCATTTCCTCTGGCAAACACCTCTTCCACAGAGGAACTGATAAAAAAAAACTCCCTGGTGTAGGGTAATAATCAGGTAAAAGCAACAATCCCAAATGCAGCTATCTGTACAATCTTTTTTAACAACCCTGTTGAACATTTTTTGCATATTTTAAAGATCCAGAAAAATGAAAACATTCAATTAGATATACAAAATGTCCAGTCCGGTGGCTCTTAGAGGAAAAAAATAGCAATAGAAATAAATTATAGTTGAGGACAGAGAAACTGTATTTACATGTACTTCCTCTTTATCATGGAAAGATTCTGTGATCAGAGATTAAAACAGATCTATATAAAGATGAGATAAAAATGAGCATTAGCAGATGATGATACATTTGTAATCCCACAAGAGGATGCGTGGTTTATTGTGGTAATATAATTTCCCACGGAGAAATTTAAAGAATTTAAATCTTTGAGTCAATCTATTAAAGTAGGCAAAACACAAAAATATGTAAAGATTATTTTTAGGAGTTTTACAAGTTTTTTTATACATCATCCTGTTGGAAACACAACCCCCTTCTCTGCCTCCTAGAAGATTCCAGCAGATATTTATTTCAAACATCAATGTACCTCAAATGTAGCATTTCTCAAAGATCTGGTTGAAGATTGGGTTAAATAAGATAAAGTGAGCTGAAGTTGCCATTCTTTTCTGCATCTCTCCAACAGTGAGCTTTGGAGTCTTTTTTCGCCCAAGTTAATTTATTATCCTGCTCACAGTAAGATATAGTTGATACCACCCACTCCACACTACTGCATGCTGGACTATGAAGCCTGCATGACTTTTATTGTATAATCTGTACCTGCACACAGCATCCACCAGCACTGATTAGATCTTTTTTTTTTACCTTGCAGGATTTTAGTTACCGGTACTCAACCTGTACAAAGTGATACTGTGCCAAAGATTCAATGAAAACTATATCTTTAAATGGAACATGGTTGTTCGAATCAGCTAAAAATAGCATTAACCTGGGTGACTGCTTGTGTTCACACACTCAGAGAGGTATGTGAAGACCTCAGAAGTAGGAACTTAAATATGGCTCTTTATTCTGCCTCCTGACCAGTGGCTAAAAGCAATGGACCTCTAAGTCATGTCATATTGCTATTAAATATGGAAAAAAAAGGGTTGGATTGCTGGTGAAACATTTCTATAAACTTTGTACATTTAAACATAAAATTTAATTAAAAAAAACACTTTAGTTAAGTCTCTTTGAAAAACATCATGAGAGGAGCCGCCATTAATTTAGTAAAAAAACTATTAACATGAGAAATGGTTTGCAAATACACAATAGCTGCAAATTATCCATTTATTTCAAGGCCTTTTAAAAAATATCTTTATAGTGTTAAGGAGAATTGTCCACTTCTGTACCTGGGTAAATGAAAACCATTACAAGTTATGTTTTTAATGTGTAGAGGATTTAATAAAAGACCAATGATTGAAAAGAAAGATCCATAAGGAGCCCATGAATCTAATGAACTCAGTGCAGGACTGAGTTTAATGCGGTGGACGTTCACACACCAGCAGCTAAGAATTACAGTCTATTGATGAAAGAGGGAGAGGTAAACAGGATTAACATTTTACAATCATCAAACCCTCTGTCATGCAGCCATGGACATGAAAGGAGAACTTAATAGCTTAATATGCTCCTACAAATGGCAGGTGCACAGTTATATCTACCAGATAAATATCTATCCAGGTTTTTATCATTCTTGAAATCTGATTGACTGATGCTGAATCAGTCTGGTCAGACTGAGGTGGTTCTATAAGACATTTTTTTCAGTGTGAATAGCAGGATATTTAAATTTACATAAATGCAGCCATTAGGTTTGCTACCAATTAGATTTGTTTGTCAGTAACAGATTATTCATGGATAATTCGATGAAGAGCTTGGTTTAATGGAATAAAACGTGGATGTGGGCTTGCTGGCAGCTGAACTGTTACATTCTGATTGAGCAGATCAGGCTTAGCCACACTCATAAATAAAAGATCTCACTCAAGGCTCTAAAGAGTGAGAACAGATGGGTCGATAGCGTTTGGCAAGCTCTCTGCTGAATCTGACCAGGAACCAACCAACACTATTGATGGACTAGTGGTTGCTGCGGCGCTGCTGTCTTATTTCAGATGCAAGGCGAGCACACTCAAAACGCTTCTGTCATGCAACACAGACTTGAGGTTATGATGCACATCTACAGTGTTCAGAAAACACTTACCGTGTTGTAGACAGAGTAAGCTGCCAGTACATGAAACAGTGCCTGCTGTCTGGAAAAGGAACAAAAAAGGACACCTGTAAAAACATGGATGTGGTTCCTGGGAAACAGCCATGAAACTCATCGGTATATTGTCCAAAGAGATCAGTTAAAAAAAAAAAAAAAAAACGTTATTTAGTGATCTTGAAGTTAATATTGGCAGATCTATTAGGTCACATATATATATATATCTATATATATTGAAATAATAGTTTATGTTAATGCAGACATCCGGCACCTTGAAAACATGCTCATACACCTTGAACAGTATTTTTTTTAATTCTACAAATCTCTGTTTTTCATTGAAATTTGAAAAACAAAACAGAGTATGAAAAAATATCTGTTAACATAGTAAAATATTTTATGGTTCTCTAAACTCTGGAGGTGTGCTCTGCTCGAGTGTTTGGCCACCATCAGTAGGTATTTTACAGCCATGATGACTTTAAAATAATACCTGAAGAGGGGATAATTTCTAGAGACTGATATTCTTGTCCATCTTTTTATAAAAATGGAAGCTCGGTTGTTTTTGGGAATGAATTCCCCAAATTCCGCCATATTTTCTAAGTTTAATTTGGGTTTGGAAATTAACCACCATAATGTAATATAGTTTCAGTTATACAGAGAATTTAATAAAACATGTTAGGCTTTATTTACTGATGGGGCAATTTGTTGCACCAGGAATACTATAAGCATAAAGGGGCCAAATACAAATGCATCCAAAACTGAGATTTTAGTCAAAAAAATTAAAATATTAAAAATCCACTTCCTTTCATATTACAGTTATGTAGTATTTTGTTTTGGGTTTCCCTCAAATCAAATTAATTTAAGATTTTGGATCTTGTCTAAAATGGGAAAATGTAGGTGCAAGGGTTTTGCAAAATATGAGCTGAAACTGAAGCATTTTGAGGTTTGCATCTGTGTCCGATTACATCTAGAGTCTCAAAAAGCCGCTTGCAGCACAAAAACACCTATTGTTTGTGAATATGAATGTGTTTGTGAGTGGGGGGCATAAAGAAAAACATAATGTAGATGTAATGAGGACGTCTGCCCTCCAGGCGTCAATGACAAATACATGTCCATTGGAAGAGACAGGAAAGGAGCTTTAAATAGCTCTCTGTGTCTCAGTGTCTGTTGGACAGCTGTTGACTTGCAGGGAAGGAGTGGGTAGTCAGGCAGGATGAAGCGGTGTTTGGTCTGTTTTGGACACACTGGCTTTGAATACAAGGGGAAGTGCAATACAAAGGGAAAGAAGAAAGCGCTCTTGTACACTCAGAGACAAATTAAGTGGCTTCTACGGCCGCAGCTAACAAAACAGAAACCAGCAGAATATGATGCTTGCTTTTAAAAAGGTGTTGGATACATTTCTGAATTAGTGCGAAATGCATCATTGTTTTCTGCAGGGGTATTTTTGCACATGTGTGCTTTTTCACCGGTGCACATTCTGCATGAATGCCATTTCCTGTGGGGCTTTGTGCACTGACAGGAAGGCTAATAAAATGCTGAGAGGAGGAAACCACCACTCCGGTTTGTTGCAACCGTGTAGTGTGCTTTATAGTTTAGGCCAGGGGTCACACCCTGCAGGAATCCCACTGGGGGCAAGTTTAAAAACACATCAGATGTCAGAAAACAACTACGGTACACTAAGGAAGTTACTTTAAAACAAAAGGGAATGCTTGTTTTGCTTTGTTTTTTGGTCAATGGTTATTGCAAAACTCTAATTAAGTGTTGCTGATCTATTTGTTTGGCTGCCAAAACAAATAAGATAGTTAATAAAAAAATTGTTTGGCAAGTCTGCTGGTTGAAAATGACAGTAAATATAGACTTTAGTGCAGTTTTATGTATCAAATCAAGCTGTATAATATGTGCAACATAAAACTAAAAGGCATATAAAGAACTCACTTCACTCCAAAGCGGTCCATAAACATGATATGGTTTCTGAATGTTCTGTTGACATCCAGGTCTATCTGCTTGATCTCTGTTGAGAAGTTTCGAGCCTGCTGCTTCATTTTCTGGACCAGAGAAAGCAGTTCACAATCACATCTAACAGTTGTCAAAATCTCTTGTGCTTTATTTAAAAAATCATAATAATAAAATAATAATAATACCTCATATTTTCCCTGATTGTCTTTTTTAATCTTTTCTATGTCCAAAAGCAAAGCCCAAGCCTGGCCTCTCAGCTGCAGAGGAATTCCTTTATACACCCGCTTCACCAGCTGAAACACACACAAAGATAATTAAATAATAAAAAAATAAATAAATCTGTTTTTAACACATCAATCACAGAAGGTGGTGGTACATATTCATGAGTATTTATATATACTAAATCTCAAGGACTTGTTGCTTGTAGTTATTCTACTTTGAGTGTCTTGACCATGAAATTGTGGATAGTTATGGGGGTGAGTAAGAAAATGACCTTTGCTTTAAAAGGAAATGGAAAATAGATTATAAAAAGGCATGGAAGTAATACAAGCCATAGAAGAGAAAAAGAAGCATAGCTGCCAAACCGAGATCTTAGCGTTTTATGTGAGACGCTGTTAACCTTTTCACTGTTCTTGTACTTGTCCCATTTTTTCACCATCTTCAGCCATTTCGCTACTCGCTCCAACTCCTGTTGCTTTTGCTAAAAAAAAAATCCCAGAACCACATCGGTGCATGAGTGAGTGGGCAAAAAGGAATGACACGACGAGCGAAATCTGAGCATGCATTTCAGTAAAGAAAGTCTTTACCTTCTCTTCAATTGCAGTGGGCGTTGGCAGTTCATTCTCACTGGAGCAAAAAAAATCAGATATACACACACATTATTGATGCATCCATTTTCTTTAAATAGAAAATATAAATTAGCATAGAGGGAAACATTTAATAGACAAAAGTCAGTAAGTTAAAAAGAAAAAACTACACCCAGGAGTTTAATTAGATGGCATTCTACATGACATGACTCATTTGTAAAAAGAACAATCCATGGCTGTATCCAAATGTCTGCCCTAATCCCTATATAGGCACTATACAGTGGTTACACCATGTTAGACGAGTGTAAGAATATCTAGTGGATGAAAAAAGTAGTGGACTCGAAATTTCTCACATTGCACCTTGAAAAGTAGTGATCATCTATTGTCACTAGACAAGCCGATATATCCCGGAATGCTTTGCAAGGAGATCTCTACTCGCAAAGCATTATGGGATTAACTGTCACAGCGGCCAGCTGCCACTACCTGACAGCGGTGACAAATAAAGATGGCGCAGGCACTGGCAGAGAGGCAGAGTCATGTGACCAAAGGGGAGTGAAAACAAAAAATTCATCTGAACGGTCAGTTAACTAAGTTCACTATAAAGTCCACTATATAGTCCCTGGTAAAAACTACTTAATGTTTTTTTTTTTTTTTAACATTTTTTATATTAAAGGTTACATAAAGCGAAGACTCTAATCCAGGCATCCCCAAACTCGGTCCTCAAGGGCCACTGTCCTGCAGGTTTTAGATGTTTCTCTGCTCCAGCACAGCTGATTTTAATTGATAGTTGATTAACAGGCTTTTGCTCTACTGCAATCATCATAATCAGCTGTGCTAAAGCAGGGAAACCTCTAAAACCTGCAGGACAGCGGCCCTCGAGGACCGAGTTTGGGGATGCCTGCTCTAATCTATGAGGATTTAATTTATACAGTGAGTATCAAATATATAAACACTTGAACAGCCCTCAGAACTCCACTAAAGAGGTGGGTGAGAATGCTAGCTAAGCTGACATCAACAACTCCTGTTACACCCTTCCCATATATAAGCCTGTGGGGGCCTTAACATCTCCTTCAGAAACAAACTCCTTCCTAAATGCAAAGGAAGGAGGGATACTGCAGGTCATTCACACCAATCTCTGTCAGAATATAATATCCACCTATATATTATATTCGGTACATATCCAGCTGTAAATTTAGTTTATAACACTAGTTATCTGTATATTACATATATCTATTAGTAAGATTCTATTTATAATGGTATTCATCTCTATACTTATTGAGTAGAAACCCATGTCCTGTATTTATGGAACCATTATTTATCATGCACATGCTATTTTGCTAATCTAATATACAATTCACACAACCTGTATTGTTGCACCAATAACCCACTGATATATTTGCACCAGTTAGCATTACTACCTCATCAATGCAAAAATCAGCTGCAATACCAAGATAAAGCAATAACAGCTATATGTACATACAAATTATGTACTATTATTTTATTATTTTATTGTAACAGATTATTGCTTTCTGTTTATTAACTTATTGCTACAATAAAGCATATTTTCCCCCAATAGATAAATTGTGTAATTTAAAATCCCTTGGCAAGTTGTACCTCGACCACATGTTTTGTGCCTTCAACAAACTCCCAGCATACATCAGCCTGGATAACTGAGCGCTCTTTTTGGTAGCATTGGTAATTACATTAAGTTAGATTGAATTTTGGACATGGAGCCATCTTTTTATGAAAAGACTAATTCTGTATAGACTTCAGGTCAGGGATTTTCTAAAGGTCATTTGTATCCAGATTTTTTTTTCATTTACACTATGCTCTGAAAACTGATCCGTGAGTTCAGATGGCTTGGATCAGTTAACCAAAAGGGTACTGAAATGGGGCTATAGTCCTGTTTGAAAACAGGACTTTGTCCAAGTATCTAGCACAGGGCTCTGCAACCTTTTATATCCAAAGAGCCATTCCAACCCCCCAAATCATTGAAGTTGTTGGCTGCACGATCAACCCAGAAAATCAACAATTTAAATATTTCATATGGAGCTTGAAATCAGTTAGATTCATTTCAAGATATCACAAATAATAATAATAATAAAAAAAACAGTTTAAGTTACTTACTGTAGGAAGCCGAAACGGTCAGTGACTTTATAGATGCTAAAGTCAGCGTCCTCCCAAGGGTCGATGCTGACGCCTTCTTGCCTGCCCTAAAAAACAAGCGTCCAAATTGGGAGAATTAGGACAGACATTCTGCTTCATGACCAAATACCATTCAGGTTAAATACATTTTATTCAAGGTTTACAACAAAGAAAGGGGAATGTAAAAGAACCTTTAAGGTTTTAACAATAAATGTTGAACCCAGTCAAAATGGTCGATGTAAAAAAGAACATGTATGAAGTTTAAGGGGATTTTAAGGCAGACACTAATTCAATGTAGAGTGAAAAATTTCAACAAATGAGAGATTTTCTTTTGTAGATTTATAAACTGCATATTGTTAAGTTTGTTCACAATGTCCAGAAAACAGTGGAAATGTAGCTCATCATCTCTATAAGATGCCTTTATTCCTGTATACCTACCTACCTTATCATATTTAGAGATGATATCTGCCCGTTCCTCTGCAATCAATGCATCTATATCCTTCTTCATGTCAAAATCTGGAAGGAAGCAGATAAATAATCAATGTAACAAACAACAAAAAGGGTAATTAGATGGAATAATCTGCTAAAGATGGAGTAATCTGCTAAAGGGTGTACAGTGTGACTAATGTAAGTCTGATAAAATGATTCACAGATTCCAATGCTGTAATATTGACAGAATATAGATGAATAAGATAATCTCATTACAATTATTTAAATGTCAGGAAGTATTCACCACCCACTAGATCTTTATCAGATACTAAAACCATATTTTTGAGAACGAACTTGTACATCTACGCTAACATTTATTTTATATTAAAGGAAGGGATGCTTAGGTTTAATTGATAAAAGAAAAAAAAAGTATGTCAATTCTACTAACGATCTACCAGGGAATCTATTCTGCTATAAATCACAGAGAGTTTAAGATGGACTAATCCTCACAGAGCTTTGTTTTATGCATATATTATTTATATAATAACATATACATTCAATATTACCAATACTGGATCACAATGACATAAGGAAGAAATTGGCTGGCATGATTAGAAGAAAAGCATGAACCAAGTTACCATGAGATAAGGAATTTTAAAAACACACAAAAAAAAAAAGCTTACTTTGTTTTTTATCTGGTCTGGTCTCACTCTGCCCTCTGTGACTTTTTTAACAAAGTGACTCACAGAGAGAGGGTCCAAAGTCAGCTTTGGATAAGGACTTTATAGATGCTAAAGTCAGCATCCTTAGAAGCATAAATGCTGACTCTTTTGTCTGCCCTTAAAAACAAATATATATAGGCCGTATATATATATATATATATATATATATATATATATGTATATATAAAAACACATTTTCTAAGTGTTTAACTTAAAGGAAGACAATATTAAAGAAACTAAGGAGGGTTTTTAGGGGATTATCTATGAACTGTGTAGCTGTGTTTCCCTGCCTTATTCACAGGCAATGGAACAACTGCATAAATGACAAGCAGCCATATTTACTTAAGAACTCTCATCAACCTGTTAAAGGAGACTTGTACTTGCTTTTAAGAAACCAACGTTAAGCCAAGGCAAAAAAACAAGTGCATGAAAACGAGTGCTAAGGAAGACTCTTAAAGGCGCTTAGTCAGGGAAAGCATCATGCAGTGTGCATGTGTGCCATGCCAGAGCTAACAGGTGGGAAAACACTTGCCTCTTTAAACTTTAACCTCTAATGTTTTCCTCTGTTATACCTCATTTTAAAACGTGAAGGTGAAATATGTAGGAGACATTTCCATTAACACGAATTCTAAAAATTTGATAAATTACTGGAGAACATTGTAGTTTTAGTTTGTCTTTTTTCTACATACAGGTAGGGCATGCACACAACTGTATCCAGCTGTTTAGATAAAGTCCTGAAGTTTATAAACCATAACTATTATTTAAATGTTGTTTTTGTCTTTGCTTCAACAGCACATTATTTACAGCTGCTTCTGTCTGCTGTCAAAACAGCTGAGCCTCTGTTCTTAGCAGGTGGTCGCTGAATGCTAAGAACTTGGCAGCTGCAGTCAGCTGCTGTGTGGGTTTATTTTCTTATGGCTTCTCTTTTCTAATCCATCTTAGCTCAGATTCTTACACTCTTTAAATACACTGTATCTGCAGGTTTTTGTGAACCTTCCAAAAAAAAAACAAATGTGAGGTAATTAGGGATGCCTCTTTACAACTTTTTTCATTTCCAATTCGACAACAATTTTGCTGCTTTGAGTGTTGATGGAGAGAAATATTGACCAGATACGATGTTATCACAGGCCATACATGCTTTTATTCTTCATTGTGTAGCCTGGGATGTCAGAAAAGGTTTGATCAAGTGAAATTACTTGAACAAGGAATAGCAATCAACAATAGGTATGAGAAAATTATACCAAAATTTGTCAAAAGAAAATGTAAACCTTTTGCATTTAAGATACAAATCTTTTTCCTCCGTGAATATGCTCTATCAAAAATTCCTCTAGTGGAAAAGTTTTCGTTCCACCTGGTTTAATTACGCAAAAAGTCTTCTTTAAGGAACCTTTTGCTGTCGGATTATTGATGGATTAATCGGAAAAATAATCAACAGATGAATCGATTTGCAAAATAATTCTTAGTTGCAGCCCTACTTTAAAATGAGACAGATAAAGGTGGGGTGTTTCTATCAGCTTGCTGATAACAGAGGTTTTAGCTACAAGGCGACATATTAAATTTTTTGTTTTTTCATATGTGACCAACTCCCGATATCAATATTGGATCAGAACATCATCAGTTTAGGTTCACATTAAAGGGGCCTTGATTTTACGTTATTACATCATGTTCTACTCACCCATATTAGTTTTGTGTCATTTGGAGCTGTTCTGAAGATATTCCGTTAGGTTATATCCAAGTAACGTCTTCCTATGGGCGACTTGAAGGCACAAACTAAACTGTTACCGGTAATAATTTATCATTTGTGGTACGCCAGCATTCATAACGTAGGCGAATCACTGTCCTCCAGACATCCGCAGTTATATTTTTTACATTTATATTTTTTTAAAACAAAGTGGAGTGTGTATGACGTTATACCTGCTACTATTCATTCATCCTGTCCGCTAAACTGCTGCTAGTTTTAGTCACATGCCTGGAAGATGTCTAGTGCTACTAATACAGATGATCTCGCTCTCGAAATGGAATTGAACAATTCCGATTAGCTAGCCGAATGAATAGAAGGGGTAAAGTGTAGCCGCCTGTGGCCTGGGCTGCCTGTCACAACTCCTGTCCGGCGAGCGGATGACGTCATACATACTCCAACTATGATGTAATAACGTAAAATTTAAGGGGCAATTGTAAAAAAAAACTTTGTTCCCCTTTAAAGGAAGACAGTACAGAAACTTAGGGCTTTGGTTGATATCAACGTCACCATTTGCTGGGTAAACTGCTTATCTTGAAAATGAAATCCTTTTCCACATTTTACTACAAGTGTTAGGCATCAATTTTTAAATTAATATAGCCAACAGTGAGAATCCAAAATATGCAAAAAAAAGAACACCAATGAGCTAAAACTGTAAATCTATCAAGGAATTATTCAATAGAAACCTGGAAGAAATAAACTATGTTAACTATTGAATGATGTATTATGTGATTGTTGACTTAATCTAGAAAAAAATTTAAATGGTCTTATTTTCCTTTTATTATGGATACTGTTTTTGTTTTGTTTTTTTTATTTGGGTTTAACCCTCATGAGTCAATATTGGATAACCTCTTTTCAATGCATCTGCAGCAAGTGTTTGGGGAAATTTCACTATCAGCTTTACTCATCTAGAAACTGGTATTTTTGCCTCTTCCTCTTTGCAAAATAGCTGTCATAACAGTTTGAGAGCATGTGTGCAGAAATTCTTAATAGGATTTGTGCCTTTCCAACACATGAACATGATTTGGTCAGAGCCACTTCCTTGAACTTCATGGATACTCTCCTGCAGGAATGATTAACCTCTGCCAGAGGTCTAAGCCTTCTGCAGGCTTTAACGCTTTAATCCATTGTTTCCACGTCAGAAGCTCCAGCCAAGTTCTTATTATGACTGAATAGCTTCCATATCCCTACTGAAGAAATACATTTTTACAGCATGATGCTGCCACTACCACACATACGGTTAGGATGCTGTGGTCTGCAGAATTCACTTTGTCCACATGCTATTAATGTTTGTAGCAAAATGCTAATAGGGCTCATTTCTTAACAAATGAGTCTGACAAAAACACCAGATTTGTGGAGTGGATAAGTTACCTTTTCAACAATCCATCACCCGAGTTTTGATCCATGCAGCTCGTTCAGATTTACCAGGGGACTACAGTACCGGCTGCTTCTCTGAATAATGCTTAAGACGACGGCCATGTCTGGCTGCTAAAATGACTGAATTCTGTGATATATGTAAAACTTGGGATCTTGTTTTATATCCTCATCTTCATTTAATTTTCTCAACAACAGTATTAATGACATATCAGCTGTGTTCTTATTGATTTTATCAATGTTAAAAGAATAAGAGGAAAAAGAAAAACAACCCAGAGGACTTTAGACAGGAATGTTTTTTTCATACTGAGATCATATTAGCTGTAGAGTAACTTATAGCCTGACTTCTAAAGTCTTTTGGTTTCTCCAAATTATCTTTGAAGGTATCAGAGTAAAGCGGGCTTGGATCAAATAGGCAACTATTTTTTAAACATACAGTCTTTAATTTTGTTTCACTTTCACTTCCTCAATAATAAACTTCATTCTATTGTTTCATCACAAAATCTAATGAATAATTCTCCCCACAAATATTCAGGTTATAATGTTAAAATGCCCTTTGCAAAGACACAAACACTTAAAATGTTAAATAAAATTATACTTAATTATGAATCTTTATTCCAGGCTGACATTTGTTATGATTTAACAATCATTCATTAGACTATACTAAAAAAAACTGCATATTTCTGCAAAGCCTGAACTGCATGCATAAACAAACCTAGGTTTAATATTACATATTAAATCATATAAATATTACAGAGAGTTTTGGTAACTAAAGGGGATTTTCTCCATCAATATAAATGACCTTAAAAGGTCTGTTTTGTTTTATTCTAAGGTTTTTCATGCTTAGTTCCTGTGCTGAGTCTACTTAATGCTGATACTATTGTGTTTGGGAAAAAGGAAACCAGTGGCTGCCACTCCTTTAATGAAAGGCTTAGTAAAAACAAAAATAATGGGACAACAAACTAGGCCTCCGACAGGAAAAGCCTTTTGTATCATCAATTTCTGATCAAAAAGCAGATTTTGTATTTAAAGATCTGAAAAAAATCATGAGTTTGTTCACTTCACAAGATTATTTCTTACAAAAGCCCATGTAAAGAATCCATAAATTAATGAGATGTAGTCAGCTTTGACATTTAGTTAGAGGTGTAAGAAAATTTGAGCTAACCTGTTTGTTGACAGGACATGCTGCTTTGAGCTTTAGGCTGAGGTGACATCATTTCCTGTTATGACATAGAGCTCTAAATTGAGCTTGC